TGGGCTTTGAAAGGGAAGAGGATGGTGAAATCCCACATCAGCTAGAGAAGGGAACAAAATATTTCGGTATGTCAACGAGGACGTGAACCCTAAAGCGAGGTGGATTGTAAGATCCCACATGGATTAGAGAATGGAACAAAGAATTTCGGTATGCCAGTAAGGACGTTGACCCCGAAAGGAGGTGAATTGTGAGATCTCACATCAGTCGAAGAAAAGAACAAAGCATTTTTCATACGAGTATGGAAATCTCTCTCTATTAGATGTATTTTAAAATCGCGAGACTAACAACGATATATAACAAGATAATATCATATCATTGTAGTGGTTCTTCGGAATAATCGAATCCAATTCTTCTTATCTCAATATGTGATTAGATTAAAATTATATTAAAAAATTTAATTTTGTATTAATTTTTAAAAAAGAGGATTGAAATTACAATATTGTCCTCAAATTTAAAGCTTCCCCACTTCTCATAATTTTATTTATGGTAATTTAATATTTATAGAATCATTTTGTGAATCCAAGCAAAGTTGGAAATAAAATTATATTTAAAAAATAGTTTTAGAAATTAGGAAAAATAGTTTTAAAAATATATTTTTTATTTTTAGAATTTAGTTGAAAAATTAATTTATTTAAAAAAAAAAAACATGCAATAAATCGCGCCTTTATTCTATAGTTGGATTCACTACAATATTTTTCCCTCTATTTCAAAGGACTTACCATTCAAATTTCAAATTTCCAACTGTAAATACAGAGGAAAAGACAAAGATACCCCTCAAATCCTACCACCCACGATGAGGAAATTCAGTCAAACACAAGGACAAATACCGTAAACTTCATAAAAAGCCGAGCCCGGTCCTGCTTCTTAAAACCCGACCAGGATGGGAAAGATGAAGAACAAGCCGCCCGATTCATTCAAGTTCCGAGTTTAATCGCTCATAGAAAGAGCACTTGTTTTGATCTTCACTATCTTACATTTGATCGTTCGCTGAGGATTTATTTCTTCTCCAAATTTCAGGTCAGTTCATGTTTCATCTCTTCCGTTTTCTTTTTTTCTCCGTTTCTAGCGAAGGATTTCTGTGTTCTTAATCCGCATTTGGTCTCTTTCTTGTTTTTATTGTTTCTTTAGATTGAGGATTCGCGTGTTCGTCGTTGAATTGATGTTCTTCGGTGTTTTGTGGTTCTTTGAATTGATTTTGCAATTGAATATTGTTGGAATTTGATTCTGCGATGGAAACATTAGTGATTGTAGAACAGTACAGAGATGAGTTCTGCTGTTTGGCCAAGACTCTAGAATCGGATCGATTAGGGAATTTGACGATTAAAGAAGGAAAACGGAAAAATCAATTTCGCCCTAATCCATTGAAGATTTCTTCGATTCCTGTTTATCTTTTTTCTTCCCCCAGAACACCGCCCCCCTCCGCCGATTATAACTGCACGCCGATTTCAACAATATCGAGAAGTGCCCTAATTTCAATTAATGGGGAAATTTGTCGAAGAGAGAGCAATGAATTCGATGAACATTGCTGTTATGAGAGGTTATCCTTTCCTGAGCTTTGGGCTGGACCGACTTACTCAAATTCACCCCCGGCAAATTCACTGCCAATGCCCAAATTTTCAATGCCAGGAAACAGAACTGTGTCACTCGATTTGCACACCAATTCAGCTGCGGAATCAGTTGAAAAAATCCACCCAACCCGGGGCCGCTATACTCATCCTTCTAAACTAGAGCCATTCCATGGTGCTGATTCTGCAACAAGAACACTTAGACGAATCCTTAACCTTGATATTGACTCTGAATGAATGAATGATGTTTTCCAGTGAGCATCAAGCTCACTAAATATAATGAAAAATCGTGGGTAGGATATAGAAATTTGATTCTCTTTTAAGTTTTTGAGAAGTGGGATTTGTTGCTGATGGTGATATTCACAGCTTTATTCAATCAAGCTTCTTGAACCTGCGAAGAGTTGCTTAGATATAGAGCTTGATTGAAGCACTGAACAGGGGTAGAGCAGCAAGGAATCCAGCTACCTCAAACTTGTTAGAAAAGAAGATGTAAATTCTGAACTCTTATCTTCTTACTTAATCTTCTTGTTCATTTTACACTTTGAGACCTCAGATTTAGGCTTGTAAATGAAATGTAGCTTAGAGAAATTCGAGGTTTCTTTTCGATTCCTTCAAGATTCTCTATACACTACCCTGTTTGTTTATACTTTCTACTGATAAACTTCATCTGCTTGGAGTCGGTTGATTCCATTGAGCCTTTTTTTTAAGGTGAATTTCTTCTTGAATTCCAACTTTTAGGCCAAATCCTTCCCTTTGAATTCTTGCATTTTTAAATGAATTTTAACACTATTTTATATTACTCGATCCAAAGTTAGATCTTTTTCAGTTTGGACAGGGTTGCATTTCAAGAGAACTGAAAATTTTGGATCGACTCAAATAGGTATTTGTCACTATGTTCTTTGAGTTTTGAAACATGTGAACGGGGAGGACTAAAATCTTTGGCCTCTTAATTAGAGACATATCTTGTAATAGCCCAAGCCCAGACTAGTAGATATTGTCTTCTTTAGGCTCTTCTTATCGGCTTACCCTCCAAGTTTTAAAAATGCATCTGCTAGGGTGGTATGTCAGTGAGGATGTTGAGCTCTGAATGAGAGTGGTTTGTGAGATCTCACATTGATTGGAGAGGGGAACAAGTACAGCAAGGATGCTAGCCCCAAAAGGGGTGGATTGTGTAATGGATTGTGTGATCTCACATCCGTTGGAGAGGGGAACGAAATATTCTTTATAAGAGTGGAAATATCTATGTAACTAACTCAGTTGGAAAATCGTAAGGAAAATCTCATAAGAAAAAGCCTTAAGCCAAATAGGACAATGTTGGCGGTGGGTTTGAGTTGTTATTATATCTAAACAAACAAAAGTTATGTTTAGTTTTGGCAAATTAAATTTTAGAGTAGATACCAAACCCTCTAAATTTTAACTAAGCTATCTGATCATTTAATATGATCGCAAATACGACCGACCAAAATTTTTGGTCTCTTTTCCTTGATCTTCTTTTTAATGTATTACAACTCATCATATGAATAATTGAAGAATAATTGAAGGGTCCACCACACAAGTATACACATTCAATCTTAATAAAATGCATTAAATCTTAATAAAATGCATTCACTATATTTAATTAAGAGTCCATATATACATAATTCAAAAGCCACAAATTTTTACCAAGTCTCATTAGATCAAGCTAGAATCAAGCAAAGTCGAGATCAAACGAATCATTTACATACCATAAGACTTTAAGCTTAATTATTGATTTATCATTATAATTTCTAAGAAAAATACGTGTCATTCATTCATATGGGATGATTCATCTTCAATACTTAGTCGAGAACCTCCTTACTTCCAACTCTCTCACCTATTTTGTTCATTAAATTTAGTGGATCATCTTCGTTTACTCGGTTGAGCGAATTAGGTCAAAAAAAAAATACTTAATATATCCATATTACTCCCAACAAGTTATACCTAAAAATGATAATTCTTATGCAAAAAAAAAAAAAAATAATAATAATAAAAATAAATAAATAAATAAATGATGGTGGAGGTTGAGATTTTTGGCTTTTTATTAATTAATTTTGGAATAAAAAGGAAGAAAGAGACAAGGAATCGACAATTGATAGTGGGAGACTCCTTTTTCCCTTTTCACTCATTTCCAAACAGAATTAAAAAAAAAAAAAAAACTTTTTTTTTATTTTTTATTTTTTTATTTTTTACTTTAGTATAAATATATTAGATAATAATTGATTTTTTTTAATCTATAAAAAGGAAAAAAAATAATATATAGATTTATAATTTATTTACTTACTAATTTTAAATATAATTTAAAAAAAATATTAATATAGACTTTGGTTCAAATCTCAAAACCTCACATTTATTGTACCATGTGCACCAAAAATAAATATATTAAAAAATAAAACAAGTTAATGATTAATTAATATTTTACTTAAATTATTAATTTGTCTATGATTTGGTTTCATATGAGGTTAAGTTTCCTTTAATTAATTTTAAATTAGTTAATACCAACTACCAATAATACCATAATAAATAGTTACATTTTCTATAAGATTTGTAAATTTTATATTTATTTTTTTTAATTAAAAATATTATTTTTAAAAAAATAGTTTAATATATATCATCTTCTTAATAATTCATTAATTAGATATGGTTGATTTTTATCAACCTAAATATTAATTTGTTATATTCATAGTAAATTTTCTGCTAATTTTTATAATATTTTATTTCAATTTTTACAATATTTTCTTTTAAAAAAACAATTATTTTTAATATAGTAATTTCTAAAAAAAATCCAATAATAATAATAATAATTTAGAAACTATTTGATCTTTATGATTTTAATATTTCCAATTGGTTTGTATGCTTTTGTCAAAACTCATATAATTACCATATTAAATATATATTTTATAATTTAAATTCATTCGAGTAAATTGAAATAAAAAAAATTAACTAAAACCATATTAAAAAAATAATCAGAATAATATAATAAATTAAAAAAAAAATTAAAATAGTTGATAATTACTATTTATTTGTGCACATTTATTTTTAGTAATTCGATCTTAAAAACTCAAAAAATAATTATATTTGACTTGAATTATTCTAAACAGGGACAAGATCGTGTTATAACTAGTACAACTAAATGTCTGGATCATATCAAATTTATGCATAATCATTAAAGTGATACATACATACACATGATACATACATACACATCTGCATAATAATTAAAGTGAAATAGTGAAAAGTTAGGCTTGTCTTCAATTCCACATTATGAATTATTTTAAAAATAATAATTATATAATAAAATTTATTATTTTTTTTAAATAAAGTTTTTAGTAAAAGCCAAAGCAGCAAGGATATTAGTGAACATATATTTTTTATGAAAATTTCTGTCTCTCTCTACAAACACTTCTCTCTCTTATCTCTATCTGCATGAGAGCAAAAAAGAGCAAAAAAGACCAAAAAAAGAGTAAAATTTTGCATGAATTTTATGAAAAATATGATGATCAACATGAATCCTCCTGTTGTTCATCCAACAGCATTTCTTGGTTGCGACATTCATGGCTGCAAAAAGCTTTCTCACCTCTGCAACCAACAATGGCGGATTATTATTTCACCCTTGAAATTAATTCTATTTATTTACAATAAATTTAAAAAATAAGAAAAAAAGATCAAATATAAATATAATATGGTACCTGTAAATATAGATATCATTGGTGTGGTGAAGATGGTTCTTGCAAGTGAAACAATAGCTAAGAAACTCGTTATTTTTCTTCTTCGGAGAATCATAATCAACTAAGCTTTTGACCACAAAGTTATCAAAAATATGAGTGGTTTTTGCATTAGGCCCATGTCGTCTAACACAGGTATACTCCTCACACACCTCCATCTCCTTCACCGTCATCAACCCAGAGCCGCCGCTTCCGCCGCCGTCCACGGTGGGAGGAGGGATTAGGACACGAAGTTTAGCGCTAAAAATGAGACTCGTAGTGGGTTTGGTGTCGTTTTTGTCCTCAATTAGAGCAAGCCCAATGGGGTTTGGGCGTGAAATTTTGTGTTTGTTTCCTGGGAAAATTGGTTTGTTTGGGTAATTGGGATTTTGAAGAGAGAAAAATGGTTTGGAATCAAGAACAGAGGTGGGGCTAATAAGAACAGAGGTGGGGCTCATAAGAACAGAGTGATCAGCTGTTCTTGTTGCAAAAGCTCTGAATCTTGGGGAACCAAAGATGGGATTTTTAAGTGGTTTTGTGAATGAAGAAGAAGAAGAAGGAGATTGAAAGGGGGGATCCGCCATTAAAGCTTGTTTCCCAGTTACAGCTCTGGATCTGTTCCTCAGCATGGTTTATGGGTTTGGATGGAAATTTGAGAACAGGTTGTGAAAATGGAAGCTAAACTTCAGTGGCTTCCATGGCTGAGCTTACAAGAAGAAGAAGAAGGTGAAGAAGATGAGATCAGTGGGTTCCCAAAAATGGTTCCTTTTTTCACTCTAAAAGTTGTCAAACAATTTGATAAACTTAGTGGAAATATATTATGACTAATTCAAATTACAACAAACCTTATCCCTTTATCCCTTCTTCCCAACTTCTTTTCCCTTTCTAACCTGCTTTCATCTTATCATAGATAAAACATTAATTATCATTCTAAAAATTATGATGTCTTTCATCGTTATCTACTAAAAATTTGAAGGTAAAAAAGTAAATTTAAAAAATGTATATACCGAATCAAAACTAAACTCATAAATAAATTTAGAAGAAAAAAAAACTAAAACTAGGGGCCAACTCCACCTAGTCATATGGTAGGCAGGCCGTGGTTTATCATATAGAACTATGTACAAATGTGTGACGTGCGTAAATTAACAATAATCATAATTAATTATGCATTACGTGAAAATAGAATAATATATATTTTTTTTTGTTCGTCTCCCCACTCTTATCATTCACGACCAATAATTAATTAAACTATACTCAAGTAATTAATTAAGATATTTCTCAAATTTAATAGAATAAAAAAAATATTTTCTCTTTTAATTTTAGTTTTTTTTTTCTTATCTTTTATGGTGGGGGGTTTTGTCGTGTAGTGTGTCAGTTTATTCTCATGCTTAGTTCACGTGAAGCCTTATCCTGACTCTCTCTCTCCCACTTTCGAATTAAATCTGTTTGGGTTGGGACAACATACAAATTTAGTTAAATTACAAAAAGTACTTTTATAAACGTTTAGTTTACTTTTGTACTATAAATCATTTTTAATTTTTTTTTATTTAAATTCAGATTTACAAACATTAAATACAAATTTAGATCGTAACTCACTACAACAATTAATAATTTAATAATCATTTATCAAAAATAAAAGAATATGGATAATTTTGTGTCGGTGGGTTTTTATTTTTTATAATTTAGACTAAATTTATAATTTAAGTAGGTTTATAAAAAATAAAATTAATTAAAGAAAAAGAGAGGTTTTATTTTATAATAATAAATATGAAAAATATTGGAATCTTTTGTGTTTTGATCTGACACGGCTTGTGCAAAACACAGAAACCTAGAAATGAATGAAAGGCACGCACTTATAGGTTTGGATGACTCCAACTTTCTAATATTATATTTTTGGAATAAGATAACTCAACCAACCAATAACCCTCCTTCCTTCCTTCTTTAGTCTCGGACCTATAACAACCTACTAGATATTGTTTACTTTAGACAGACGGAGCAATATATTAGTCAGAGTGAGACTAACCTTCTTCATAGTAGACATGTTTTAAAAATGTGAGACTGACGACAACACATAACGAGTTAAAACGAACAATATCTACTAACAATGAATTTGAGCTGCTGCTGTTATAAGATGAGATCAAATACTTGATTGGATTGGGTAGTCGAAGTTTATGTGAAATTTCATTTCAAAACCAATCACTAAATGATACTTCTAACAATCCGCTAATAAATATTGTCCTTTTTTAGCTCTCCATTCCGAACTTTTCCTAAAGTTTTAAAACGCGTCAAATAGTGAGAGGTTTCCACACCCTTATAAAGAAAGTTTTGTTCTCCTTCTCAACCAATATGGGATCTCACAATGCTACTGTCAACAAACCCTTAACAACTATTCGACTCTAACTACATTTAGTTGCCCAGAAAATTTATAGGATACTAAGGGGCTCGAAAACTTTTTCAAACACTTAAAATATCAGTCCAAACGAACCTTACATTATCATGAATTAGACTCGTCTACTCTAGGTTCTCTGACTTTTGCTAATGGTCCCAATGATCCACCAAATCAAGTTAAAACATACAGTAATGTGGGGGAGCAGCAGAATTTAACAAGACTACGTAATTGTGGAGAGTAGTTTAGTTTCAATGTGATGAAGCAAACGACGTGCTTGCTTATGACTCACTAGAAGGTATAGTATGAATAAATAAACAAATACAGGATGAAGATTGCTTGCTTGTCCTCTTCTCTTTCAACTGCACCCACCACCCTTCTATTTTAATATTCCCTCAATTATTGACATTTGATGCTGATGGATTTTAAATCCCACTAAATTCCAACACAATTGCTCTAAATCCTTACATAAATTTAAGCTAATTATTACATACCTGCCACCCTTCAAATTGGTGTCCCTCCGGCTGCTGGCTGAGATTCAAGTGCACCTCCTGAAGACATATAACAAACAAATTTCAACTCATCTATCATCAAAATTCAATTTCCATTGATGAAAAAAGGGAACCCTTAATCGATCCAGGGCCAGTTTTCCTCCATGAGAAAGAGAGGCCGACGACAATTGGGGCTATTTTGGCCATTGCCCATGTTCTTCAACAAAATAATTGAGGGGACCAACTTACCTTACCTTCCTAATTTCCTATTACGATATGGCTTTGACCAAGAAAACTGCGGCTAATGCACGTCAAGTTTCTCTTGCAGAATAAATTAGAACATTATCACAATAATCTAAGAACTAAAAGCCTCTGTTAAACCAAAAAAGTTGAATAAAGAACTAATTTTACATGAAACGGGCTACTGTTGCTGCTGATGTGATACTCATCCTTGTTTAAGCTTCCTATCATTTCTTGTTCTCTTTCGGAAGTCCCGCTTCTCTGTCGAGTACTGTTTCTTAGTCAACAGATTGCTCATCGCAGTTTTAACAGCTTCGGCAGCTGCCAAGAACACTTTTTCGTCGAATGTCACTCCTCCCTGCAATTTTTCAAGCAGCTTCTCTCCCCCGGGTATTGCATCATCTTCCAGTATGGATAACTCGTTCTCAGTGGAATTCGGATTGTCCTTGTTGAAACCACTGATGACCTTGACACGGACCAGAGAGGAGTGCCCCAAATTGTGCAAACCGGAGACACCGGTTACCATCCATAGGTATCTAGTCGAGCAACTGGACGATAGGCTAGTTGGGATGAATGTCTCCTCACTTATAGAAACCACCTGAAGTATCAAAATTATAACAAATAAACTATAGCTTGAAACAAGGAGATAAATACACTCAGATGCTCACAAACAGAAGTTTGTAAAACATTAATCTGGAGAACCCAGTCACAATAACCATTGAGGTTGCTCCCGAGTCATTACCTTGACTACAGATAGAGAATGATTTGACAGGTCACAGTTTAGCAAAATAATTCCATGCAAGCTACAAAGAAAAATGATAACGTAAATTAGGTAAAAAATTCAATGGTAAGACTCCACCAAAGAAGAGAAAAGAGCATAGATGGGAAAATTGCCTTTGAATTGCCACTGCAACAAGGGTACCATCGGCAATCGTGCAGATACTTGTGACAGCTGAATGGCAGCCCTCTCTTTCTTTAGACTCAAGGAGTTCTACCTTCAGTAAGTTAGTGAGAGAAATCAAATTGTGAACCAGGAGATCAAGATCCATACCACAAAAGGGAAGGATGCACAGTTTACTTAACTCTTCTGGTTACAGAAGAGTGAGACTTGAACACTCCAAAGATATTTTACATCAATCTTAATATGGGATACAATAAACACTTGTCTAAGTAAACAAGTATGTTGTCCTAGCATTTTTGGTGTTCATTAATCAGGGTAATAATTCTGAGAGAACCTAGTATTTGTCCTAGCATTTTTGGTGTTCATTAATCAGGGTAATAATTCTGAGAGAACCTAGTATTACTCAATGTAGAATTCATTAGTTTCACTTTTTGAAAACTATTGAGTGGAAGTTTAGACGTCCAAAATAAGCTCAGAACAACGATAACACCTTATCTCCAATCTCGCAAGTGGCCAGGAGTGATCCAGATAGAATATCCCATAAACGTACCTGAAAAGGCCACAAAATATGATTGTATTTCACATATTGCACCAAAAGCAAACTAGGAGTTCATATGAGACTGTCTTACAGTTGAATCGCCGCTTCCAGATATAAGAAACCCATGTGGGCATTCCAGCTTCGAAATGAAGGCTATGCAGGATACGAAACTAGAAAAGACACATGGAATAAATATATGAATCAAAATCGAAGGAAATATCGCTTAAAAGTGCCACCACTACTGACCATCCACCTATATCTTTTCATATATTAGATTTAGATCATGGAAACTCACTCCGTATGACCAAGACAAAAACTTTGAATCTCATGAGCTTCATTCACAGGTTTTGTGGGGAACGTAGTAACCTTCAACAAAAGCAACACCGTTTTAAAAAACATGAATTTCTATGAGTTACTCTCATAACTAATGAGGAGAGAATGACTACCCGAATTTTAAAATCACGGTCTGCACTAACTAAGAACCGGCCATCCAGTGAGAATTCCTGCAACCATAAAGATATTAATTGCGTAATTAACTGCATGAAAACTGTAGAAACAGAAAAACAGCAGAAACATTTCCCACCATTACAAATATCTTACAGCATTATATGAATCAACCTCATCCAACATTAGTTCTTTTGGCTTTTGAATAGAACAGAAAATTTCATGAGGAATATAAGTACAAAAATATCTGTTCCAAAACAAAATAGATTGGCAATCACGATAAACAAACTAAATGCATAAGCAAACCAACGGATCCCCAAAAAATCAATTATACAAAATCCTCACGTTATGCTCAAACATATGTATCAAAGAGAATCGAAATCCCTGGTTCTTCACATAGAAGTCACTCAATGTTCAAATGTAAAATTTCAAAGTAACTTCAAAACAATCCTCACCCCCATTCGTTGGCCATGAATCTTTAATTACGGAAGCTAATTATAAATCAAGAAAGGGTGATGTTCCTTTGAAGCCACTTTGCAGAAAACGCAATAATGTGAAAGAAAAGGATGGCTAAGAGAGAATGCTTACTAAGCTAGTGATTATACTGCAATAATGTGAAAGCAATGACACTGCCTTCTTGTTGACCAGAGGTTGATTTCCATCAACCCCTCCATCAAGATCCACAACCCAGATAACCCCAAACTTGTCAGCAAAACAAACATGCATACCATTAGGGCTAATGGCAGCTGCACTCACTCGTTTTTCAGAACCCCTGTCAGGAGAATTATGAAAGCTTCAGTGTACACAAAGAAAACCAATCGACAAAAGCATGCAG